AGCTCTCGAGATAAGCTACAAGAATATGCAATAAAAAATGGGGAGTTCCATTTAAGAAAACGTCGATCACATTGACCTCACCTTGAGAAGGTCACTCTTGGTCAAATCCATATTTTTATCATGTGGCCCCCTCCAAACCCTACAACTTTTGTTTGAAACATTTTTTTTTTTGATAAAGCTTACTTTCCGAGATATTTTACAGTTTCAAGTTAAAAAACTCACCCTGTATATCATAATATATGCAAATATTTTTGCAAATAATACGAAATTAATATAATATTTCAGAATAAGTTAAACTACATATTAAGAGGTCTCCTTACGAAAATAAAATTCAGAGAAAGTACTGAGGAGGACGAATTTACTAAATGTTTAAGACAAGAAGCCATTAAATGGGCATGTATTCTCGGCAACACCATCTGTCAGAGAAGAGCTAACGACAGATTGTTAGAGCATATTGAAAAGCTGAAAGAAAATAAGTAATTTTTCTTAACGTTACTGTTTTTCTACATTTTTTTTACATCTTTCGCAATATTTAACAAGATATTGAATCAAGATACAAAATATGATGAAAAAATATTTATATACATAATATTTAAAACATTCTTTTCAGATATTATAGACTTCTGCCGTGGTGGGAAGAATGGATATACTGTAAAGGTTTGATGTTAGCAGATGTTGATACTTGGCACACAATGAAAAATATGGCATTGATGCAAAACCAGGACAACAGATTTTTAGAATTTTTAGCTTGTTCTAAAAATAACATCAATGAATATTTAAAATTAATAACATTGCAGGATAATGGAACATATATCGGAATAGAAACTAATAAATGTACTAACAGTTTCCTTTTTATTATTGCAAAGCATGCAAAAAACGATACTGTGCTTACAAATATATTAACAAATTTCGAGAAACTAAAACCGAGGTAAATTTTTTCTGTGATAAACGCATGTTGCTCATAATTACGAAAGTTTATTACGTAAACTAAACATATATTTGCTATTTCGTTTCTAAAGAGACATCAGTGACTTAGCAGCATTTATCATTATTATTAATCATATATATTTCAAGAACCAACTTAACAAGGTAAATTTTATAAATTCTTTTATAAATCCAATTATTAACTTCTTATTGTTAAACTTATTTATATTTGTATATGATATATATGTTGCGAGCTTTCTTAGAAAACCAATTATTTTCAAAACACGAAAAGCACAGCCTTTTTATAAGGCACTAAATCTTTGTAAGTTAATATTTTACAGAAAGGCTGTGCGTTATGTTAAAATTGAAACGTACAAGGAGCTGTAAATACATAATATTATATATATATATATCTAATATTTTCTATCAATCATACCGGAGGAAAGAAGGAATAATGTAGCACCACATTATTATAGTACTAAATTAAATTACTACTTATTGATAATAAACCGAAATAATTTGTTTTAGATCATAACTGCCTTGAAAAATATTATAGAAAAGACCGCGTTTGTTCGCGCTACTAAAAATTTTTGCAAGGAAAACGAATCTCACAAGGTAAATATGTCATGTAACATAAATATTATACTTATTTATATTTTAATGTTTTATTACTAACTGTAAGCTTACATCTTCTACATGTTATATATAATATTTTGTGCTCTAATTAAATATTAAAAACAATAACATATGTCGTGTTAGACTTTTAAGATGAGATAACATTATTATTTCTTAATTCTAAAAAATATATTAATTTAGGCAACTGCTCAAGAAAATTTTAGAGCGTATAAAAATCTTCTGGAACATTGGAAATGGTGTATTGAAAGGAAAATAGAAAGACGATTGTCTGAAATTAAAAAGCATAGAAGATATATCCGAAATTTTTAATATCAGAGAGAGTTAAACTTGATTATTTAATTACAATTAAAAATCAATGAATAATAAATAACTTTAAAAATAATAAATTATTTAATTGTTAAAATAATGAATTATTAAATAATAAAGTACTTTTTTATTTATTGATAACTTTACTTTTTAAATATGTTAACATAATAATAAATATAAATAGTTATAAAATTAATACATATTAACACACATATATAGAAAATAATTGTTACATATATAATATAACATTTATCATTATATATTTAATATATTATTAGTCACTTGAAATACAATTGTTATACAATTGAAATACATGTTATACTATTATATTCTTTCATTTATAAAATATTATATGATGCTATTTTTCATTCTTATTTATTTAAATAATTGTAATAAAAATAATAAAAATAAAATCTCTCTCTTCAATAATATTATAAAATGTGTTTTTTTTTGGTTTTTATTATTTTCAATACAGAGTTTATTTATGTTTTGAGTTGTAACATAAATATACCTTTTTGAAAAGGGCTTCACAAAAAAATATATTTTAATTGTTTTAATAACAGAACGTAGAATTATGAAAGTATAATTTTATCTATATGTAACAATAACATTGTTACAATCCTATATCTTTAATATTGATTAATTTTCATTAATATTTATTACTTATGCATTTTTTAAAGTTTAATAAAACATGAACTTTAAAAAATCTTCAAGCAATATACATATATTTATAGCAATTTTATTTAAAAAAAAACTTTTTATTGGAAGTATATATATCAACTTTAAGAGATTGAATACAAAATTATCAATTTTTACATAAAAATTTTAATTTATCTTGATTATATTTACTATGTTAAAAGTGCGGTGCAATTCATTAAAACTGAGTCACACACACACACACACACACATTTACAATTTAATAATCACAATTTAATTACCACAATGGTATATAATCACAACTTATTGATGCGCATAGTATTTATTGTATAGTGCAACGTGATGTTATAGAGAAATAAGAATAAAAATTCGAAAATAAAATTATAAAAATCCACAAAACATATTTCTAGTAAAATTGTATACATCGATACGGCAATTATCGTAAAATCATCTGTATTGCATAACTTCCATTGCAGATTCTCTGCGCGACCATTTGATGCATGGTATAGACAAAAAATACATAGTATAAATAAAAAATTACAAAAAGCTGAGCGACGTATGAATTATATGTAACAAAAAATTGAAAACTCCATCAACTTTCAAAATATTTTTGCATAGATAATTCTACTTATTCATAAACATTAATTTAAGGCTTTGTAAACGACATTAAGTACGCGGATCAAGAACTGAAAACTAGCATACTGTAATAAATAAAATAATTCATTGTGTGTGTATAATTAAAGCTTCAATAATAAAACTGTTTTAGTTTGTTTGTAAGTGTCTTGCAATTAATTGCTCCAATTATATTTTTTGAATATTATTATACTCTTTGATTAGTCGATAATTTCTCTTTTCATATTTTAATCTATTCTTAGATCAAAATGACATTCTGTTTCATCTGAATCCTTTCATTATTTTTCGCTTTGTCTCATTTCACCTGACACGGCTCCAAGATATTAATATTAAAAATGCAAAAACGTTACTTCTAACGTATTTATTATGATATCTATTACATCAATATTCTAAGACAGCCTTATGTATTTAGCCTTATTTTGTTATGATGTGTGACATCGACATTGTTAGTTCTCGATTACTTCTCGAAACGGAAAGATTACGATAGTCTAAATATATGAGTGGTTAAGGTGTAACAATATTAACGCTCGTGAAACAATTGTAATTGATTCTTTTGATTGTAAAGAAAAAGGAACTATATTATAATAGGCATTGATTTTTAATATACAAGGTAAGTCGCTAAAACCAGAATATTATGTATCTCTCTTTATAAGGATACATAAAAAATATATAGAACGCAATTAATAGTATTACGGTATCAACGTGATGAGCACATCTTAATTCTTTTTAAATTATATTTTTTCCAAAATTGCCGACATTTCATTAATTATAATATATTGTTGGAAGAATTAAGAATGAACTTACATGTAAAATTAGAAAGAGACTGAAAGGGCTCGTAACATCTCTAAAATTTGCGTGACATGAATTGACTTTAATTTGAAAAACAATATATTAAAAATAAAAGCATGATTAAAAAAATATTTTCACGCTCTGTGAACTTTTAATGCATATAATTTGACGAGAAACTATAACATATACTAAATATTATCACATACTATAAATCTATAGATAGTTTAACTTAATTAAAAAGAAGCAAACCTGTATATGATGGATTGCTAATATTTTTGTTTGCGACAATCTATTAAATATTTAATGTTGATTTTAACAAATTAAAAAGAATTAGTATTATTTATGAATCTTTGTTAATATTTCACGCAATTTTTTTAATTTTAGCATGGATTATAACAGAAAATATTATAAAATCCATTTTATATTCTACTAAATTTTTATTAAGAATTTATATCTTGCCTGGATTTAATATTAATTAATATTCATTAATATCTATTTATTACGCATTTTTTAAAGCTTAACAAAACATGCACTTTAAAACGTCTTCAAATAATATACATATATTTATTGCATTTTTAATAAATAAAAAACTTTTTATTAAAAATGTATGTGCCGCGGAAGAAAGGCGTAAAATATTTTAACTTTTAAAGATTAAATACAAAATTATCAATTTTTACATAAATATTTTAACTTATCTTCATATATTTACTATGAAAAAAGTGCAGTGCAATATATTAAAACTAAGTCAAAATTTACAATTTAATAACACCATAATAGTAAATAATTACGACTTACTGACGCGCATAATATCGTTTAGTGCAACGTGATGTTAGAGAGAAATAAAAATAAAAATTCGAAAATAAAATTATAAAAGTCTGCAGAACATACTTTTAGCAAAATTGTATACATCGATACCGTAATTTTCGTAAAATCATCTATTTTGTGTAACTTCCATTTCAGATTCTTTGCGCGATCATTTGACGTATGGTATAGACAAATAATTATAAAAAACTGAGCGACATATTAATCATATATAACAAAAAATCGGAAACTCCGTCAACTTTCAGAATATTTTTGCATAGATAGTTCTACATATATCATAAACATTAATTTAAAGCTCTGTAAACGACATTAAATATGCGGATCGAGAACTGAAAGCTAGCATATTGTAACAAATATAATAATTCATTATGTATGCCTAATTAAAGCTTCAATAATAAAAGTTTTAGTTTGTTTGTAAGAGATTTGGAATTAATTGCTCCCATTATATTTTTTGAATATTATTGTATTTTTTAATAAATCGATAATTTTTCTTTTCACATTTTAATCTGTTCCTAGATCAAAACGATATACTCGCTGTTTCTTTTGAATCCTGTCATTATTCTTCGCTTTGTCTCAATTCACCTCGCACTGCTCCGAGATGTTAAAAACGCAAAAATATCACTCCAGCATTCGATGACGATTTACTAGTGCAACAATATTTTGAAAATATTATTCTTATATAATATTATCATATTACAATTTCTGTTCAAGTATTGTCAATCTATAATTTTATATATATAATATTTGTTATAATATTAGCATAAAAAGTAATGTTTTATATAGTTTAACATTTATTATTTTTATTTCGAATATTATTTTATTAGTTATTGAAAAGTACATATGAAATTAACAACAAAATAAAAATATTCGAAAATTAACAGAAACATATTAATGATTCTTAAAATACAAATATAGATTTTAATCCATCCTAAATTTTGTAGAACTTGACCTAACGTATTTATTATGATATCTATTACATCAATATTCTAAGACAGCCTTATGTATTTAGCCTTATTTTGTTATGATGTGTGACATCGACATTGTTAGTTCTCGATTACTTCTCGAAACGGAAAGATTACGATAGTCTAAATATATGAGTGGTTAAGGTGTAACAATATTAACGCTCGTGAAACAATTGTAATTGATTCTTTTGATTGTAAAGAAAAAGGAACTATATTATAATAGGCATTGATTTTTAATATACAAGGTAAGTCGCTAAAAACAGAATATTATGCATCTCTTTTTTTAAGGATACATAGAAAATATATAGAACGCAATTAATAGTATTACGGTATCAACGTGATGAGCACATCTTAATTCTTTTTAAATTATATTTTTTCCAAAATTGCCGACATTTCATTAGGAATCTTTTATTTCATTAGTATAATTTTTATACATTTCCTATTTAGGAATAGAATTACATGTTTTTCTAAATTTCTAAATTTTATTTATTTAACAAAAAGTTTAATTTTATTTATTATAATAATGTTGCGAAATGTCCTTGGAATCAAAAATTTAAGATTAAGCAAAAAACTTTTTTAATATTTAAGTTCATATTTAATTTACACATTTTTAAATAGATAATTGAAAACTGGATAATATATTGCAATGTTAGAAATTACAATATTTATTACCATGCACGCATTTAAATTATTCTATATATTTTTTGGTAATGATTTTGGTAAAGTCAATTTATGTGCAAGATTTCTTTAAACTCGATTACTCAAACGTATAACGAACAAACAATAAATGTCTATTTTCTCGATTTAAAAAGAAATAAATATGATATATGACACATATCAGTAAAATAATCAAATCGTGTTCGATCAGTTCCCTATATGTATATATCTGAAAACATACAAATATCAAAAAAGTTGAAAAAAAATTAATTTTCCGTTAGATAGTTTTGTGTCACTAATTCACTGAGGACATAACCATCTAAAAAATGAAACAACAAATTTTGAAAATAACATGTTGATAAACATAGGTCGATCTATCATAGAAATATTGAATACGGATGAAATTTGTTGTTACTCAAGGAAACTAATTATCTCTTCGGAGATAGTTAATATTTTCTAGATTTGTCTGCTGTAAATTTCATTGTCTCAACTTGAATTTATATTTGTTTCTTTTTCAACAAAGAAAGTTATTGTAGGCATCTAAATAAGTGATATGGCGTTTCTAAGACTGTTACTTTATGGCGGTCTCATATTTATCATCGCGACAGCACTTTCTGCCGATAAAAATACAGAAGATATCATCGATACATCGATTACATATGATACCTTTTTGGATGTAATACCAATGCATTACAACGTCAAATTAATACCTTATTTCAAAGAAGACGATGAAATCTATGACGAATATCTAGCCTATTTATATCTAACCCTTAATACATATATAAAAGGGCATCAAGCAAGCGGCGGAGTTGTCTTCTATGGCGAAATCAATGTCACTATTCATATTTTTCATCCAACTATAAAAATAAGTTTAAATTCATCGAATTCAATTCGCCATTTAGCAATAGGATTGATGGAAAAAGACGTTATTAATCTTAAGCCAGAAGAATATTATTCTCATGTACCGACAAAAATCGTATATGATAATGTAACGCAAATTTGTGTTCTTCATTTTGAAACTGTATTATTACCTAAAAATTACATATTGAATATGATATTTCTTAATGCAATTAATACCTCAGAAGACGATAATATTATCTTAAAGACTACATATATAAAGAAATCAGGAAATGAAAAGTAAGTAAATGTTAATATATTAAAAGCATAGTGTTATTAAATGTTATTTATTACTGCTTTTTACAAGACATGTTTGTTCTATTACCTCAGTCATTTAAACAGTATATATATGATATAATACTTTTTAACATATCATTGATATATATGTTAGATGATTCTATATCGATAAATAATTAAACATTGATAGTCATTCGAATTAATAACTTTAAAATATCGTAGATGGAACGAAACAAATTTCCCGACGATTGAGGCCCAACGATTGTTCCCATATTGGGACAAGCCAATAAGAGCCACTTTCGACGTTTCCATAAAGCATCACTGCAATTATTCAGTTTTCTCAAATATGCCAGTACGACAAGAGAAAATATACAAACATAAATTAAATAATACAGAAACATGTATGCAATGGACATACTTCGACACCACTCCTTCTATATCTGCTCATCTCGTGATGGTTATGATTTCATCGATGCATTTCTATCCCAATAATGGCACAA